GGGTGAATGGTGGATGGGTGGTGGATGGATAGATAGATAGGTGGGTGGATGGATGGATGGTGGGTGGATAGGTGGATGTTGGGTAGAGGTGTGGATGGATGGTGGATGGATGGATGGGTGGATGGATGGATAGATGGAGGGTGGGTGGAGGTGTGGGTGGGTGGATGGGTGGGTGGAGGGGTGGATGAGTGGGTGGAGGGGTGGATAAGTGGGTGGGTGGATGGATAGATAGGTAGATAGGTGGATGGGTGGATGGATGGATGGGTGGGTGAGTGTGACTGAGTGAGTGGCTTGACTTTTGTTACCCTCTGTGGCTCCCCTGAAAACAAGAGGGCCTATCCTACTGCACAGCAGCTCTGTGTGGTGTTCCCTGAGTACCAAGTGTCCCAGTTATTGGGATTAGGGACCAAAGCCCCAGGAGCTGCCTGTGGGGGACGGGCAGTCCCTCTGGTGATCCTTCACTCGCTCATTCCCTCTGCAGCTGTACCAAGAGGGAGGCAAGGAAGGAGGCAGCCCAGGGACAGACGCAGAGGGTGGGGGCAGCTGCATAGGAGGGGCCAAGGTCTAGCCGGCCCCTGGGCCTCCCAATGCTCCTGGCCCTCCCCCGCCACTTCAGGTTCCAGCCAGCCGGAACCCCCTTGGAGCAGCATCGACCCTTCAGCGGCCTCAGCTGCAGCCTAGGGTACCAGGGATGACTGCCCAGGTCTCCTCCCACCCCCTCATCCCGTCGCCCGGGCGGTACCTCCACTTGGGCCTCCTCCCAGGCATCCAGGCGGACTGACTTCACCTTGCTGACCTGGGGGATGTTCCGGTGGATTCCAGAGCAGCTCAGGCAGATGAACACCCCGAGGGTGTAGGAGGCCCAGTCAGGATCTGGAAGGGAAAGGCCAGATGGTCAGGGAGGGCTGAAAGAGGGTCTACCCCAGAGGGAGGTGGAGCACCGGAGCAGGCCTCTTTCTGGCCTCAGTCTCTCCGTCAGTGCACCGAGAAGCTGGCGAGAAGACCCTGAAGTTCACTGGTCTGTGGGCCTTAAAAGGGGGTCCCTGCTGCCTGCCAGATGAGCAGCCCTGCCCATCACCCTAGCTGCCCCCGGGAATAGAGCTCTCCCCAAACACCCTGCATGGACAAACCGCAGCTGTGGGGGATGCCGGGATGACGGGGACATCTGAGAATGGATGAGGTGTTGACGACAGCATGCGATCAGAGCCAATTTTGTCAGCATGACAAGGACGCTGACTTGACTGCATGCGACACACTCAGGGATGGCACATCTTGATGTCAAGTTTACTTGAAAAGGTTCAACGGAAGCGCGTGTGCGCGTGTAGATGCAGCAATCACAGCTGCGTGCTCACAATCATTGATTTGAACAGGGTGTGTGAGTGGTGAGTACAACTGTGTCCACATTTCCACGGGTTTGAAATCTTCCACACTGAACTACAGCAAAGGGAACACCGTGGAATGTGCCGCTTGTTAAATTGGGGTGGCGGTAAGTGGGGGCTGGTGGCGTGACCCTCCCCATTTCATGTCCCCCTAGTGATGACTAAGTGACAGAGGCCGGGCTGCTGAAAGGAGTCCTACGAGAAGATCCCTCTGGAAAGGGACAGTCGTCTCTGAAATACTTCCATTTTCAAGTAAAGCTTCTCCTGGATCAGGCTGGCTTAAATCAAGATGCCCGACAGCTCCCGGCCAAGGCCACCAGCTTGAGCGGGCATCCCCAGGAGGCCAGGCTGCACCCACACCCAAAACCAGCCAACATCCACCCACACCTGTCAGAGAGCACAGTGTTGATCCCACACTGCGGTCACTCCACCTAGGGGCCCGGGAGTCCACAGACCCGGGGATTGCCGGGGTCAGCTGTGTGGACACCCCCTGCCCTGGGTCTGGGCAGACACTTTCCTCCTCATAAGACAGGGCTGGGAGGTGGCTGTGTCCATGTGCAGGCCGGTTCATGCCATCCCTGCCCTACGGAGGATGTGGCCCTGCACCTCCCTTCAGGGACCTCCAGAGAACCCACCCTGGCACCAGGAGGGTCAGCGCCCTCCTCAGACATCAAACACGCAGTCCACGGGCCCACAGCCCAATGCTGTGTGTGAGTGTGTGGGGAGTGTGCACGTGTGAGTGTGAATGTGTGTAGTAGAGGTATGCATGTGGGTGTGATGCATGTGTGAGTGTGTGTGTAGGGGTGTGCATGTGGTTGAGTATGCATGTGTGTATGTAGAAGTCACACATGTGAGTGTAAGGGTGTGTATGTGTAAGTGTGCATGTGTGTACATAGGAGTGTGCATGTGTGAGTATATGTACGTAGGAGTGTGCATGTGAGTGTGTGCATAGGAGTGTGCACATGTGTGTGTACATATGGGTGTGCACGCAAGTGTGCATGTGTGAGAGTGTGTATGGATGGAGTGTGCATGTGGGTGTGTGTACATGTGAGTGTGTACATAGGAGGGTGCACATGTGTGTGTACATATCAGTATGCATGCATGCTGGTGGGTGTGAGTGTGCGTGTGTGTTTATGGAAGGGTATGCTGTGGGTGTGTGCATGAGTGTGTGTATGGATGGGTATACATGTGGGTGTGCATGTAAATATGTGTATGTAGGGGTGTGTACGTGAGTGTGCATGTGGGTGTGCATGTGTGAGTGTGTGTATGGAGGGGTGTGCATGTGGGTGTGTGCATGAGTGTGTGTATGGAGGGGTTTGCATCAGGATGTGTGCATGTGAGTATGTACCTAGGAGTGTGCACATGTGTGTGTGCATATGTGAGTGTGTGTAGGAGTATGCACAGGAGTGCTTGTGTGAATGTGTACAGTGTGTGTATGTAGGGGTGTGCAGATGTGAGTGTGCATGTGTGAGTGTGTAGGCGTGTGTATGGGCAGCAGGCACCTCCGGTTCCTGGGCCAATGACCCACCAGCCTGGAGCCCTGGGGGTACCAGCTCCTGCCTCCAGACTTGCAGCCACCAGAGGGCACCCGGCCACGCCCTGGGCCCAGGCCCAGCTCCTTGCTGGTTTTGGGGACAGGAACGAGCTGTTCGCAGGAAGACAGGAGAGGGGCGCAGGTGGGTGATGGGCAGGCGATGAGAATCGCCTGGTTCTGGTGGTTACAGGCGTTTCTCGCTCTCACCTCACAGCCCAGCTCACACAGTCCCTGCCCTGTTCCGTCTGAAGGCCCCTGCAGGGGTGTGACCAGCTCCAGGGTCAAGTGGAGGAAGTGGAGGCCAAGGAGGCAGGTCCCCAGCCCAAGACACACAGCCTCTCAGTGGCTCTCGGAATAGAGAAGTTTCAGGAGAAAAACCGCCCTGTCATCCCGAGGGCCCCTGGCCAGCCCCATGCAGACTCTCAGTGGGGTCTCTCCTACGGTGAATCGGCAGGTCGTTTATGGGGTGGGGGTGGCTGGTGCAGGAAGGTGCTCCTGCGGGTCTGCGGAGGTGCAGACGGAGATGTGCCCCCCACAGGCACGGGCTCCTGGACCAGGGACACAGAGCCCCTGCCCCCAGCCTCCTCCCTGTACTGGGGTTGGTTGACATCAGTGGCGGGGGGCAGCCAGAGATCCCCAGCCTCCGAGCCTTGGTTCTGAGGGGCCCTCCCCCCAGCTCAGAAGAGCTGTGAAGGGAGGGGAAGGAAAGGCCAGTGGCCCACCCACCGGCACACTGTCCTCATGACAACCCATCCGTCCCCTCCCCGCATCTGCCCTCCTCCCCGTTGGCCCACAGTCCACTGGCCAGGGAGACAGAGCAGTACTTTGAAGATGTGCATCATGTCCATTTTCCATCTGGAAGCCTCGGAGACTTTCACCACTTCTCCGGCTCAGAGGGCTGCGGCCGGGGCGTTACACCCCCATTTCCAACCCGCATGCCCCAGCTCCAAGGCCACGGCTTACAGGGCCTCCCCCTCCCACACCGCCCACCAGCGGGGGTGCCCCCCACACTTCCCAGTCACAACACCCTTCTCATTTCTCCACAGCATCCGCCAGTCCCAGTGTTTCAGTTTATTTGCCTGTTTACCGTTCACGATCGGTCTTGACCCCCAGAACGTAAAGGAGTGAGGGGTCAAGCACGCTGCGGTGCCCTCTCAGCAGCCCAGGCCTGGTGCCGACAGACGTTAGGTACCCAGTGACCACTCGGGGGACACCCAGGGACAGGCCACCACCCCCACTGCCCTGAACGCTGACCTGGGGAAGTGCTTTGGAGGCGAGGGTGTGGCAGCGGCCAGAAGGGGGTCTGCAGAGAGAGCAGGGCCTGGGCGTGTGGAGGGTGGGCAGTAGGGGCCTTGGTGGAGAGAAGGCCACATCCCTCAGCTCTGAGCCTCCCTGGGGGGCGGGAGCGGAAGGGAATGCTGAGGGTCAGAGAGCCACAGATTGACTGACCTCCAGCCCAAGCGCTCCAGCAGCTCAGGGACAAAAGCCCCCCCGCCGGGACCAAGTTTTCACAGGGACCTGGGGTGCGGAGAGCAAGCCCAGTGTCACAGCCCCTGTGACTCCATGACCCCACGCTCTGAGTCAGTCCTGTGTCCCCCAGTGTGTTCTCCCTACGTGTTTGTGTCATTTTCAAGAAACTGCTTGGCTGGTCCCTCCCAGGCCCTGCCCCACGCCCCCCTGTCCTGTGGGCCCAGGTGCTCAGCAGGCACAGCCCCCAGCTGCTCTGGACACGGCGGGCACCCACCCTCCTGGGGCCGCAGGAACGGGCTCCCTCTTTGTGAAATGCTGCCCAACAGGAAATGAGGAAATCGAGACTGAAGGCCAGCAGTCGGAGAGAAAGTGAACGGGAGGAAGGCACACAACCAGACACGCCACCAGCCGGGGGGCCCAGGCCGTGTGGCTCCGCCGGGGGAGACGCGACCCCTCAGTGCTGGGCCCAGGCCGGAGGAGGTGGAGGGGGCAGATTTTTGGCTAGCAAATCACCTCAGGGCGGAGCCCCAGGCTTCCTCCCGGAGCCAGATGGGGGGCTGTGGCTCCCCTGCACCCTGGTGCTCAGCAGGGGAGGATGCCGGGGAGGACTGACCTGAGCTCCTGCAGCCTGAACACGCTCCACGGCTGAGCAGACCTGCTGGCTAAGCAGCTGGGCCCACTCCATCCCACCCCTCACAAAACAGTGCCTCCGCTTCTCCTCTGTGAGATGAATGTAACTCCAAGGAGGACACTGAGGCTGCTAATGCAGGAAAGCACGGAGGACAGCGCCCAGCACGCAGAGAGCCTAGGAACGGCAGCTCTCACGTGGTGACCACACATCTCAGTTTGCAGGATTGTCCAGGTCGCACTGCTGTCTGGGGGGATTATTAACGGCCTCTCCTTCACCCTCAGATGTGTTCCAGTTCACAGAACTTCCTCAGCCCCCCAGTAACAAGTCTGGCAGAGACGGCTGGGGACCGCCACTGTCCCTTTCTCCTCCTTCTGGGTCACAGCTCCGTGGCACTTCCCAGCATCCCTTGCAGCTCAGTGCAGCCATGGGATGGAATTCTGGCCAGTGAAATGTGAGCAGAGGGATCGATGTCCCTCCAGGCCTGGCCAATAGCCACCGCCCATTGGCCATGCTCTGTGCCCCCATCCTTGGCTGATGGGGGCTCTGAGGAGAGAGGAGGGGTCTGGCCCGAGTCACTGCCTGGAGGAGAGAGCCCTGGAGAGCGGGACAGGACCCGCTGCAAGGACTGTGCTGTGGGTGAGCAACAGGTCACAGCTCTGAGATGTGGGGCTGTTTGTTACAGCAGCTAGCCTCCCTGACTGGCAGAGTCTGTCTCCCCATTAACTGTGGGCTTCTTGGGGACCTAAGTCCCAACACACCCAGGATCCAGCACAGGCCAGCTGCTCAGCAAGTGTTCATGATGAATGACCAAACAAACGCCCTACTTCCTCAGAATCCCCACTTCTCAAGAGACCACAGG